CAACAAATCAAAATAAGTTGAATGGGATGAAATGAATTATTTCTCCAACTATCAGATAACTTTTATCTTAAAAATTACAATTACAGTCTCGAAAAAGTCATAATCTGAAGTTACCCCAAATCTGTTGCAACAATCGCTGTTGTTGCGAATGTAGCAGTTTATAAACTAAGAGAGACTAATTAAAATACTTCATCTCAGGTTCTACAACTGTTTTGCTGTTTATATTGAAACGCTGATTAAAATCCATTGTTATTGCAATATGTTACATTTCTGCCGTTGCAAATTTGCAATAAGTCATAAATTAAGTGTGATTTATCTACAATTTCTACAGATTTCGATGAAGCTTGCCTTGATTATTGCAAAATGCACTTGCATTAAAAGGAAGTTACAAATTAAACAATCCATTGCAACAACATGCAACAATCTATGTTGCAGATTTGCAAGGGGAGTTTATAAATTCAGGGCCAAGTGAATTATTTTTTTATTTAAATTCTAAAACCGCATAGAAGAAAAGTAAGAAAAATGATGGAGTAATAACGATAGGAAAAATATTTTCATCCTGTTGCTTATTATCCTTTAAAAACTGATACTTTGTACGTTGTACCTCTTTGAGGTTGTTATGAACTGAACCTCTCTGAATGATATAAGACGACATAACAAATACAATTTTTCTTGGCTCTAACAGGAATACAATAAGAAAATTTATTATCAAGTTTGTTAACCTCGTAAACACTGATTAAAATTTACATTGTATGGTTTCCAGCTTCTTTTCAGCGCGTATGTTCTCAAGGTATAAAACAGTCACTTTAGAAATACGTCGATGTAAAATGTTCTTAGTAAAACGCAATCAAGGATTTTAATGTGCCTCATGCACATAGGCGGACCTTTTTGCACAGGAAATCATCACTAATCTGCTAAATCGCCTTCACGTCGCTGAACACAATAGAATACAATTCTTACATTCGCTTGACCGTGCGAAAATTTTTGCGATATATACAGAGTGGACCATTTTCGCGCGGAGCATAAAGTATCTCAAATATATAATAATTGTACTGTTTAAAAGGTACTGTTGAAAGAGCAATCGATTTTTGAATGCATAACCCATAACCTTTAACACAACTTAAAGTAACTAAAAATGTAGTTATAATTTTGCAAAATGCACCGCTCTGTACAGGGCGAGGACTCTGTTTTGATCCCTCTGAGGCCTTTATTTTGATTCATTACATTTCTGTATATTTACTGATATATTACATACTTACTGTTCGTCGATGCACAAAGGCTGATTGCAGAATTAAAGTCTGGTGATGATAGTACCGTTTCCATATCTCTAGAACAATAAAAATATTTATAAATTATAGCTGAAAGCCAGTATGAAAGATAAGTAAAATCTCTAGTTTTTTTTATCATGTATCACTAGAACCCCTTAGAAAAAAATTTTTTGCAACGTTTATGCGCATTTCTCCATTATGTCATTCATCAATTATTACAATGCACTAAGAGTTGTGCAATTTGACACTAGATTTTTATGACGGAGGCATTAAAATTACTTTTCCCAGCTGTTAGCCATGTATTGATTATAAATAACGAGTTACCGTCGGTGGCGAAACAAAATATTTACGCGTGATGCTACACCCAATACAAAAATTCCTCCTCACACAATATAATAACGCTCCCTTTGAAAAAAATAAATTAAATGGCTCGCAAAAGAACTATGGCGCCCTGGGACTTTTATTTGGCACAGTTTTTTGTATTATTCGTATAACTAGAACTATAGCAGAGTCTGTCTTAAGTCTATACACCATGTATAAAAAACATGATTCATTTTTATCATCCATATAGTGGAGGAAAAATAGAATCTCACTTTATAGAATAAAAATAAGTGCAATAAAAATTTTCTTTAATTTAATATTTTTTAAGAAAAACCATCTCTAAACAATAATTTACATCTAAATACTGTATATTTATTATCAACAGACTGAATAACGAGTCAAATAAAAACAAATATGAATATTCTTCCATTGCCCGATAATATAGTCCAATAATTACCGTCTCATAAAACTGAACAGCTGTATTTTATACATATAATTCGTCCATGTAAAATGCGACTACCATACAAAAATGTCAAGACAATACGTTTTGTAAGACGAAAATAGTATAGAATTACAGATCACTAGCTATTAGTACTTCCCTTACAAGCTGGGCAATATTAAAAGATAATAACAGTTTTCCTGACGATTGTAAAATCATGCCTAGGTAATACCAGACCATATTTCCTTCGAAATTCCAATAAAAGCTTGGGCTTCGTCTGGCTGTTGAAAACTTTCCCACTTATTGTTCGAGGCTAAGAAGACCACATTCAATTAACTGTTTCCGTTTTATAAGGTTGACTAACCTGAAGTCAGTGAGAAGTTTCAAACGTGAAAAAAAAAAGGTTTGACTTAAACGCCTGTTTTTTGTTTTCGAGAAATTCAGAAAAATGGAGTAACGGTACATCGCAGTCGTCATTAAGCGTATTCTATAAATTATTCATTAATAACGTTTCCAATTTATATAAACACGTTTATTTGGCTTGTTAGCGAATTAAGCTAGTGCCAGCTGACTAAAAATAACATGACATCTCTTTTGCTATCCTAATATAAGAGTTATTGAAATTTATATTTGTAATTCAAATAACATAATTGTATACTCCTTGCAAATCGACGATAAGTTATTTATTGCAAATAATATACATAACGTATGTTGTCAAAATTTTTACTTTTGTGTGTACCGGCTATTAGCGATAAAAACGAGATATTTAAAGGTTGAGGATTGCAATGTGTGAATTAGATAAATATATCAACTTATTAATTAAATTTAAAACACACGAAGTTTAATTACTATGTTTCGATTCGAGAATATAAAAAAATCGGTGGCCCCGAGACCATTTCAGAGAAATTTTGTCTACCTGTTAAGTAATAAATCATGTATTTAAATGTGTAGAGAAAGGTTTTCACTTTTGAAACTATAAACTGTCCCAAGTCCTCAGATGTGTATAATTTGTACTATTCTGACTTTATCAAGAAAGCAGTTGACCTCACATAACATTTAACAAAAAAGAATAATCCTTACTCGTCTAAAATGCAGATTTTCAATTTTTCTACGACCGTTTCCTGGTTGGTAATTTTTCTGAGTAACAAGTTTTATTTGCATGAAAAATGTATCTTATCTTGCATTTCTAGTTTCAATTTAATATATTCACACGGTGACAGATTTATTCAAATTAGATATAACATGCATATTGTAAGAATCACCAGATCGTGTGTTAAAAAGTTTCGTGTGAAAATATCTTTTGTCTTTCAGTCCGTTAAAAAAAACTATAAATCACGGCGACAACAGTCTTGGAATATTAATCATACCGGTGAGAAATAAATATCTTGAGGATGCGTCATACATTGAAATTTAAACTTAAATGGATATTCTGTTTTCTCCATTTATTTTGACAAATAAAGGAAGAAACATATATACTGTAAAATCACAGAAAAGTCAAAACAATGAGCGAGTAAATATTTATATTTTTTCAAGAGTATCAGAAATATTGATTAGTCAAAATAGATATTGACTTAATTAAAAATAAGTACATATATGTGTGCAAGTTTGAATATGGGAATATTAACAAAAAGGGATTGATAATTATCGCACATCTCCAGCATATTTTCTCAGGCTCATTCTTAACAATAAAAGACTAACGTGAGAATTTGTTTCTATATTAATTTTAATAAGCTTATAATTGCTGTTGGATATTGCATGCTAGACTCATAATTAGGATTAACCCACATCGGTAATGGTAAATTGGAACATGTCAAACTGCTTACGTAGATAATAATCAGTATAGTGCTATATAAAAATTTAGATCTGCGGTGACATTGCCAGAAATCGTCAAGTTTAATTAGAGTTAAATGGTGTCCAATTCTATTTCAACCAAATATACGGGGTGTCCTGAAACTATGAGACTTATTGTTGGTATTAAACTATACCTTAAAAAATAAGTCCTAAAGAGCTTATTTCGTCCTTAGACTAGAAAATCCATTATGACTTTTTTATTTGCAGTTTTCAGAAGAAGCAATGTCAAACATCATTAAGAAACCTTACTTTCAATAATGTTTCTGAGAAAAAAGAAAACTCAATTTTTTGGGCACCCTTCAAAATGGTTAAAGTTTAACTTATTTTAGAGTATAAATGAAGATGTAAGAAAATTTATGAAATTTAAAAATGATAATTTGTTCAAATAACAGTAAAGTGAACTTCTTTGTAAGAATTTTTTAATGACAATCGAAAGCGGCCCATTCACAAACAGAAAATTTGTTAAGCATTTGATCCAAATGTAATTTAAATAATTTTTTATAGTATTTGAAGAATACGGAAGAGGCACCTCTCCCAAAAAAATTAAATTTGTTACGCCATTGATGGCTTTTTGACGGTTACTCTGTATTTAAAATTGTATCTCTAACAAAAAATTTAATTATTTTAGAGATATTTTCAAAAATTGCTCATTTTTCGAATAAAGTGAAAGATACCGCTTTTCTTAATAATGATAATTAAATGCACTTATCGCATTTCTAAATTAGAGGTATTTTTAAAATGTAAAAAATAATTACAATTACAATAAAATTTCTATCATTATAAAGTTATTATCTTCGTATGTAGGTATTTCACAAAATTGAGATATCTGGCAATCGCCTACTGACAACAGCATACAACATATGCGGGGAAATGACTCTCTCCGCAAATTATTTGAGAATATATGCGTCTTCATTTCCTATTCCGCATGTAATATGAATCAGTGGTGGCCTGGTGTTGGAAAGTTCGACCACAATCTTACATAACACGAAATAATCGCATTTTTGTACACGCACCCGTTCCAGTATGTTACCGGCGACGAAAGAAAAAGATAAAAATTATTGTATGGGTCGCATAGGTGCGAATGCGTCTTTGGGGAACTAAAAGTGCTCGTTATTTTTCAGATTGAGTGGCGAACCCTACATACAGAAAATGCTAGGACCGTTCTGTCAGAAGCATTTTACGTTAAAACAATTTTATCCAGTACACGATGATCCCCACACGTTTATTTATTCACAGGTAAGTAATTTGCTAATTAATTTTAAATTTATGTTTTATTATGTGAAAATATTTTTAAAATATAATTAATTACTTAACATGTTCATTAATAAAGAATGCTTAAGTCAGTTTTCAATTTTAAAGAGGCATATTTTTTATTTAGAAATTCTAAACTTGCTCAAAAAATTACTGTACATTTTTTTATTTTGTGTGTGTTTCTTTATTAAATGAATTTGAAATTTAATAAATGAATCCTACACAATAATAAAATCTAGAATGTTTAAGAATAGTGTTAATAGTGTTACAAATTATAGTAGGTTATTTAAGAAAATAAAAAAAAAGTTCATATAGAGCATATATAGGAAAATGATGCAAGATGTAGTGCGGCATGAAAAATTTATTGGATATGATTATTATTATTTTAACTTCCAGACAATTGGAAGGATGGTTGAAAACATACAACTTTTTTGCAGACGGTTTAATGAGATTGTTGTCTCAAACAAAAACCCAACTTTTTGCAATGTTACTTCTCCCAGTTGCTGCTAGGTATAAAATTGTAATATTAATAGTTAAATGTAAATTTAAAATTATATTATATATTAGTAGTGTTAATTATAAAATGTTAAGTGCATAATAAAAATAATAGACTTTCGGTAACGACAATAAATATTTTGATACATATTAAGGTACTGGAAAGAAAACGACCGACTAATATTAGATTACTTTATGTTAAGTTTACTGACATTTGATTGATTACACACACACACAATTTTTTTTAATAATACTCTTCAATAGAGTATTTTGACCCGCTGAAAACGATGGGGCCATCAAAAATGCTTCATCACGTCAGGAATTTTTCCCTAACCTAAAAAATTGCTCAAAATCAGTGATCTTGATTTTTGTTAAAATAGCACAGACGTGTTAACAAAATAAAAACTTAAAAATATATGAGTACATTAAAATAAGTGTAAAAAAGTTTCTAAACACACTAATTTTTTCAAAACTTTAGAGAAGTTCCTTCTTAATTATTATTATCTGAGGTAGAAGTTTGTAACACCATATCTAAAACACCTTGTACATGTAGGTAGTAAAAATTGCAACACGTTTCCTTGGGAGAAACGTTTTCTAAATTAAGTAAACATCCTAAGCAAACACTGTTCTTGGTTATTAACGTCGACTTTCTTTTATAATGTATTATTCTTCATCTGGTTATAAAACGTATATATGAAGAATAAATTTAAAACTGAAAATCATCCAATACATTACAATAAATATTTCTATTCAAATTCGACCAATTCAGACATAGAACTTTGATCTTAATGTCCTTGAAGTTTTTGAATTCTTTGACTCCTTTTGTTTAGGTGGTACAAACAGTTTATATTAATTGCCAGTATTAGAACACAGTAAAATGTCAATGTCCTACGCCGCGACTTTATAGTTAACATATTTTTGCAAATTAAATTTTATCCTGCGATTGAATTTGTAATCAAATATGTACAACGTTTTTGTCAAGTATAATTTTTACATTAATTTACATAAAAATGGACAATTGCCAATTTTTACATATTTACAGTATCTTTTAAAAAGTGTTTATAATTCCAACTTTAAGATTTCTAAGAATTACTTCCTCACCTTCCTGTGTATATTTTTTTCTAGTGGCAGCGCGACAAATCAAAGCCAAACCTGCTCTATCTGACATATCGCACCATAATGGCCCTACTATTTCTAGTAACCTGGTTGATAACTATCTTTAGAGAAAGTGAAGGTGGAATATGGCCTATATTCCTCACAAACTGGGGCTACACGGTCTGTACCACGCAGGCTGTGATGGCATTTGGTATACTAGCAACTTACGTTCTGGCCCCCCGTTTCAAAAAGTTGCCTAATTTGAGAGAAAATACACTGAAAGCGTACCCTGTGTACTGGGTTCTGTATACCATAGCGACTCCGTTGGCTTTTGGCATCACCTTCATGTACTGGGTCGTTATATATGATGGTAAATGTTTTGTTATACGAGTATTCAGTTATGGCGACACTGTTGGTAATTTTTTTAGAACTGACAAATAAAACACGAACAAATTGCTTGCTCGTTCTTGAGTCTATATAAAGCCGTTTAGTGACGCCATAATTCCAATACATCATTGCAACAATAATCATAAAGAAATAAAGTCTACAATTACTAGAAGATGCTAAAAAAAAATACATTTTTAGCCAAAAAAATGACATTTGATGCTATGAACTACTTTGTCCATGGAAACAATTCCATAATGATGATGATCGACTTGTGGATAGTATCGCAGCCTACTAGAATTTTACATTTCGTGTACCCCGCAGTTTTAGGGATAATGTACACCATATTCAGTATTATTTATTATGTCGAAGGAGGAACTACAAAGTAAGTAAATTTTTATTCGTCTCACAAAAAAAGTAGCAATTTTTTTCTTGTACATATGATTTTAAATACAAAATAACCATCAGAAGTCAAGAAAAAGTTGTCGAAACAAATTTAAATTTTCTAAGAAAATTAAAAATTCCTACGCCAATGTTTCTTTTAAACTTTTCATAATTGCACTGTCTTTAAAATCGTATATCCAACAAAACATAAACATTTTTTGCGATATGAATGGTATAGGAGTTATTTTCTTTCAAATATGTGGCAACCTTATTTTAAATACAAAAAATTATAACTGAATATTATGCAGGATTTTTAATTACGATGTTTCTTGGTATCTCCGCCAATGGTTGACAGATTTATGTACCAGCCCAGCAAATTTTTGTCCATGCCCATAACATAGCTCTACAAGAAAAAGTCTTGTGCAAATGACCAGAATACATTATTCCTAGGTATTTCGAGAATTTTCTAACAAAAAATGCTTAAAATCCCACAAAATTGACAAATCTGAAACTAGTGGTCAGATCTTTATATTGCCATGTATCTTTATTCACTGGACACGAATCCGAGGTCAGAGTTGGCCGTAAGGTCACAAATCCTTCCTAACCTTGAAAAAGTTTAAAAATCCACCAAATTAATAAATTAGCTTCTATAATCCAGGTATGATTTAACAGCGACTGAAAATCGTGATCTGACGTATGTATTTTAACACGCTGAATCCGAATCCGATGTCAGAATTACCCCAGCAAATCACCAGAATTTTCTAACCTAAAAAAAAAACTTAGAATCGCTAATATTCTCGAATTTCGAGACTATTACCGATTGTAGGCTATATTTTCAAGTTAGAAAATTCTGGAGATTTGCTGGGGTAATTCTGACATCGGATTCGGATTCAGCGGGTCAAAATACACGGAAATAATGTATTCTGGTCAATTGCACAAGAGTTTTGTTTGTGGAGCTGTATAATAACCTTTTTAGTAGTGACGTCACATACGCCAAATAATAGGCAACCCCCTAGTACACATTGTCATGAAGAATTTCTCAGTATTTTTACTAGATCGATTTTCGACCATATGTACTTTGTACATAAGTACTAAAAAAATCTCTTCTTTGTCATGACCTTAAATATCGCGATATTCGGGCAGTATTAGAAATATCTAAGAAATTTCAATCCCCAGGTGACAAACTAAAAGAATTATAGTTTATATTTTTAAATTTATAGAACAATATTGACTTTTATAGTAATAAATTAAAATTATAACAATGTTACTGAGCATGCGCATTAAAGATAATTTCATGTAAGCGAAGTAGCCTCGCAAGCTCGCAAGGATACAATTCAAGAAAAGTTTGGTTCTGGTTAAGAGTACGTCTATAATAAACCACTTGAAGAAAAAAAACACTCGAAAACAGACTGACAGCAGAGCACCAAGAAAAAAATTGAAAAATACTTGGTAGAACTAGAAAATGCCATGATTAAACAAAAGAAGAGAAAATACACCTGCGTATGAGGCTATTCTCCCTGAGCATGCGCTAATGTACAATTTTTACTTTATTTAAATTTAAGAATATTCTTTTACATCGTTTTTGCAAGTTTTAAGCACATTAGTATATCTATTTTACGAAACACGTGTTGGTTCTTAAATACTTCTAAATCTTTCTAAAAATAAGTTAATTTGAAATTATTCATTTCTATAGTATCTATGTAAATAATAAACAAGGGTCAGAATTTCCACTATGACATTTGTTGCGGGTTGCCTTAATATGTGACGTCACATTAAAAGAGATATGTATGCAAATAAAACTAATATACATATATATTTTTGTTTTTCAACACCCCTGTGTGTTTTGGACACATATTTATAGAAACATTTTTATTAATTTGTTCTGTAGAATCCATCATTTGAGTTTAGCAGAGTATATCATTAACACCCTGTATATTGGATAGCCCATTTAGATAGTGCATATATTGGGATCTTAGAAACTCTAAAGAGGGCAGGAGTGGGCACTCCAGAAAAAAAACGTTCCTGAAACAAAAACCCGATCCAGATCATAGTGAAATTGTATGCAAAATGTTGTTGCGATCCCTACTTAACCGTTTTTCTATCTATTGTATTTTCTCTATTTTAGGGATGGGTCAAAATGCATATACAAGATCCTGGACTGGGAGAAGCCCATGCCGACAGCGCTAACCTGTCTGGGAGTTACAGTGTTTCTTATACTGTTACACCTTGTAGTGTTCCTCATATACAAAGTGCGGATCACCCTGTATGAGAGATGTTTTTCGTCGAAGCAGGACACGCCATCGGGTTTGACCGAAACTAAGAGACAAGCCGCATATGTGAATGAAGGAATGTCGCATGACGTCGTATGATCCTAAATCATACCCAGATTACGACCTCCCACTCGTCTTAAAGGCTTGGTTTCACACACAAAAATTTAATTCAGTTGATAAGAAAAAAACGATTGTGTGTTAAGTTTGTGTAAAAAATATTTTTTTACTTGGGAAAACATATATACAGGGTGTCCATGAAATATATAACATTTTTTTTAGACGGATATAATGATTGGCAGTTTTGTACTTTTTAAAGGTGATGTTTAATATTATTTATTACCATTGAGTATTATTATTAGTATACAGTGAACACAAAATATTGTTCATTTACTTACTGACATTTTATCTATGTCTTGGTATACCAGAAATGGCATTTCACATCCTGCTCGTTGTTTGTCAGAGTACACAAATAAATATTCTTTACTTTCACATTTACCTAATCCAAATGTGATAGTAAATTTTTTATTATCCACATATTATAATGTGAATTTTACTTTTCATGTGGTTGTTCACTTCCAGCAATGATTTTGCATATGCCCTGTAATTATTGCCCGCTATACACTGTCGAAAATAATAAGATTTTTGTATTTTTCGTTTTTTTTTTACTGTGAAGCACTCCGAAATTTTTTACTTTACCACTAAACATAGGATTTTTTGAACGTCAGGTAGCTGACAGCATCAAACCCCTTTGTAAACTAAATAAATCTTTTTGGACTGATTCTAAAGAACGTAAATTGGCACTGTAAAATTATCAACATTAGCTGTGTTTGGTGTCAGGTTTAATAAGAAACTTGCAAAAGTTTAGATTTCTGTTAATGGTATAAGGTGTTTGGCATTTTGATTTTCACAGTATTTGAATCAAATGAATTTAATTCCACATTTTAAGAAAAGTTTTATTGATGAACTTTTAGTTTAGTCTCTGAACCAAACGCAGCTAGTGACCTATATTAGAAAGTTGTTATGGGGCCTGAAAGCTCTACAAGTGAACAAATATATTAAATGCATACTGTTAATGTAATAAAAAAAACTGGTTGGTTATATGCAAAAGAATTTATGACGTCCGATTTTAATATGTCACCAAAACTTCCTATGCTTAGATATTGCGAGTGTACTGTACTGATATTTGTTCCTGAAGTTGTTATATAATAAAATACACATTTGCATTTACAAGAATGTTATTTTGTTGTTTGTATATATTTTGTATTATATGCGTTATATAATTAATAAATACAATGGTGAACATTAATGGAATAATTCGGTGACCATCTAAATTGAATGGGACCTAGCATAAATTTGTAAACGGAGATAAATTAAACATTACTTTGTCACACGTCACACTTCATTTGAATAACAAATATGTGAAGATCGTGGAAAAGTTACAAATATGTCAAATAGTTTCATATTTACAATGAAGTTTGCAACAATCAAATATTTAAGTTAAAATATGAAATTGTGAATGAGATTCATAAGAAAATTTGGTAGTTTAGTATTATTTATAGTACCTTCTAATCGGAATTAAATATGCACTTTAGTACTGTTGGTATATAACACACAAATACATTTTCACATGTCATAGAAACAATATATTATAATAAAATAACATTTCTACGTATTATAGCAGAGTCTACATATTTACGCATTTTGTAAAAGTACTGAGCATTGATCCAATATACCTTATTTGCTGATTTAGGCTATGATCCAATCAAGTTACTATGCTGTTCTCGATACCGGATATGCTAATGAAAATATTAAATTATGAAAATAAAAATCGATAAAAATATAAACTACAGTCGAGCGCCGTATTTTGGCTATTTATAATTTAGGGTAGTCTTTTATCGTAATTGCTGGATTTTTCAAAAAAACGAGTTATCAAACTCATTCGACGTGGGTGAACTAGATACCAATAAACAATTACACCTCACATAACGGTGCTATAAGAGGGAATACCTGTTTTAATTAAAAAAAGACAGCAAATGGTAGGATGCAAAAATCGTGTGACCGCGAAGGCAGCTAAAATGAAAGACCATGAGAGTGAGCCGGTTGGCAGTCTGAAGGGGACAGTAGTGAATAAAAAAACAGGACCGGCCTAACGGTATTCGCATTATTCAAATTCGAAAAGGACTAATTAAGTACCGGCCGCAGTGGTACAACAAGAAGAAGAGTTTAATTTAAAAATTGCTTCTGGTTTTGGTAAGAAACGAGGAATGCCACGCGAAATTCTTCGCCCAGTCGCCTGCATATCCGAAAAATTCCAGGTATAGAATTGTTCAAACCAGCGTAAGGTTTCATTTATTAGAAATTAATTATTAAACAAAGTGATATGTTGAATATTTGACAAATTATTATTGCTTGTTAGCGTCTAATCTAAGTTTATAGTCTAGTCAAAATAAATTTGAAAAACTTATAATGGATTTAAGGAAACGAGAAATTACTTAAAAAATCTCCAATGCTAAAACCGTAAAAAAGATAAATCAGTTTCAACAGCAAACGTTAAATCTGTATTTTACAATATTGATATATTACAAATCAAGGAATTAAAGTACATTTTAAAAGCGCATAAAGTGTAAAAGAATTGCTATGTACCCGGGACTAAAGTGCTTTTCAATTCTTTCATATTCGGGATTATACGCTTTAGTCCCTTGGTATATAATAGTATTATATACTGAATTGACATATATCACAAACATCAGATATAGATATCTTGTTCTAATACACTCTAACGGCTGCCAAATTACCTTGGCGACCATTTGAATTGCATTAATGTTTGTTTGTTTTTCTTAGAGGGATTAAAAATAAATTTAAAAGCACTTTAGTCCGAGATATATACCTACGCTCATGAGCGCCCACAGAAAATTTCCTTAGCGGGGACCAAGACGTATTTAATATAATAAAAACATATTACCTGCGATGTCTATGAATTTAATTATTTATATCAGGTGAGGCCACGATCCTCCTGCCATCCCCCCTCCCCCCCCCTGCCGGCGTCCATGCCATGTGTATTATAGCATTTTTCTATTGTTGACAAATTCTCTAATTTTTTTCTAAAATAATTAATGTAATAATCGCTTGAGGCTTAAATGTGGCACTTTAGTTCGGATATTAGAAATTAAAACAGATTTAATCCACAGATTGCAAAGAAATATGCTTCAATTTTATTTTCGTAATTAAAAAGACAAATTCATCGAGCAGCTTCTAAAATTCGTTTTGTAATATTTCTGAATTTAGAGGTACCTATGCCCTTAAAAATAAACTTCTCTGTATTTGGTTTGTTTACTATCTTATAGCAACATAAATTTAAATATTTTATATAGAACGAGCTTAACCTTGGATATCACAGGTATTTAGGTGTTCAAGAAATGCACAAACTCGTTCTATCAATATAAATTGTTTTTTTTTTTTGTTTTAAAGATTCCTGTTCCAAAACATTCGAATAAACTCATTTCGTCCTTATAAGAGGACAAGCTTTTTGGTGTGCTCAATTTATGAGTTATAAATATAAAATATATTTTTCTGTCTAAAGGTATAGTAGCACAGTGTAACTTTGGTCGAAAGACCCTGATATATATGTATTTCTTATTTGTACGTATTATTTCAGGATTTGAAGGTGTGGGAAAGATAATCGGTCTTTATGTGGTTGAATGGTTATTGAAGCCAACATTTTTCTACTGCTTCTAACTATTAGCAAACAGTAGCTCTAGCAGTTTTCGTTAATGTGTTTCATTTAATCCGTGTAACTTGGTGTATAGATATTAGATCAAGATTTGGAGATGTGGAAGATAGAAATAGACTTCTTTTCTTTGAGTAGATACTGCAGTTGTCAAAGCTGATATTTTTTACTATTGGAAATGCAACTGTAGTAGCAATTTCCGTTAATGCATATTTCACGATATCGCTATGTTCCTTAACTGGATTAGTACTAAGTAACCAATATTTGGAAGGAGGAAGAGAGGATGAAAGTAAAACGTAATCATTTAAATGATAGAAGTGTTCTTATAATACAATTGTACTATTAAAGGTTCATTGGTGTGTTGCATGTATGTACTCGGTTTTTTCCTCTACGGGAAGGAGATAATGGACAATATTCGTGAAGCAATCTACATTGGTCCGATCCTGCCGCACTTAATAACAGTTCAGACGGTGACGGTGTCAAAGAGCCCAGTCCAGATAAAGAAGAAGCAATGCGCTCTGGTCTGTAGTGTGCAGCCACAAAGTCGATTAGTTGGTGGTACCCGGTCCAGCATTCGGTACTCTCACACACGCTACAAGGTACCAAGTGATCGACTACTCGGGTAGGTACCCGTCCGCTGTCTTTTCAAGGATTTCCAATTTGCAGTTAGTTACGCAGACGGTTGTTGCGGCGTATAGCTATCATCGTCGCCAACGGTCTCACTCTGCGACAAAGGAGCGGCAGTGCAGCGAGTGGTACCAAGCCAAGTCGCCAGTCGACAGGAGGACGGTGGGCCGTTGCCAGTAGTAGTGCATTGTGCAGTAAGTTGTTGCGATTACCAGCTGATGGGCTTAGGCCACTGACACTCCGTTGGGAGCCAGCATTACCAGCTTTTGTCGCTGCTTTGTGCGGTGGAAATTGGTGGATTGGTGGACTGGCCCGGATACCATAGCAACAGGCTCGGGGGCTAGGGCCGGGATGCAAAACGTGCGCGCGCTCGCCCAGAGGCAGTAGTACCCATTAATGCGAAGTGCATGTGCGGGCCGCGATCTTGTTTCGCGGCGCATACTTGAACCTTCTGGTGATGCCCCTGGGGTCACCCCGGCAAATGCAACCGCTGCCAATAGGACTGACATGATGGTCTACCCCGATCCCCAGTGGACCTGCTCCGCCACGGCGCCCATGCTTCAGCTGTACGACGACGTCGGCTACAGAGGTAAGTCTCGCAATATCATCACCATTCACCATCACTGCTGGTAGTACTTTTTTCAAACTAATCTCATAATCACATAATAAAATGTCAAATCTGCAACGTTGTCACATACCATTTGCAAAAACCTTCACAATGCAATTGCTAATTTCTTTCTTCATCTGCCTTAATCCTTTTATGTGTGTGGCCAATATTCTGGCGAATTGCTTTAACCAGTCCAAGTTATGAAATGTCACATTCGCTACCAAAATATCAACATGATTCAATTTTCATGAGCTTTATCTAATGTGCATAACGTTTCTGTATTTTCCAGAATATTAGTGACCAGAATTCTTTTAATATTTGCAATTTGCGTTCGTGAGCCGTAACTATTGCCAATCAAAAACATTTTTTGGAAAGCGCGACATCATTACACCACAAGACTATTAAATAGTAGGTAAAAGGTAATCACTAAATATCACCATTCCAGTATAGAGTTTCTGATGGATATAGATTTTCCATCTAAAATATATTTGGAAAGCGTAAACTCATATCGTCACACAGTCAAATATCTATACGGCTGAAAATTAAAAAACGCAGTGCTATTGGACTAAATAGAGTTTAGGTGGTTTTTAATCTTAAGTTTCTTTGAATATCCCGAAGAGAGATTGTGTAGCATATCTAATGTCAATTTAGTTTGTCGTGTAAAAGACAATTTCTCAAATAGTTCTGTAAAATATGCAACGTTAAAATGTGTCACTGCTCCCCTAAAAGATCTTGCACGCTCACTTTAGAGGAGAGTTGCCATCGCTGCTAAAATTCTGTCTTTGTCCGTTCTCATGATTCGCGTTCGCGAATTTCCGGGCGCGTAATATCATTCACTACTTATACGTAGAAATTTAATCAAATTATATAATTTCTAAAATTAAAATTTATTACTATTATAAACTAATAAAACTCTTTCGTTAACAGTATTAATTATTTGAGTATGTAATGATCATGATTAAACTGACAAATTTCTATTATCTAACTAAAAACATAAGCTTGACATTAATACCTCTAATAATACTACAAACTGACACTTCGTATCATATGTTTTAGTGCCCACCTTAATGTCCGGAAATTGTCAGTGTACTTTTTCATTTTCTGATCATTGTTATCTGAATCCAACTATATGTAACTTGATTTTCGCAAAAAATTACATTCCAACAAAATTCAAAACGTGCCGTGAACAATCAAGACATTATAGAGGTATATTTTTTGCGAAAATTTCATATATCATATTGACCAGAAAAAAGTTATTTATTAGATCAGATAAAAAAAATATATTGTTCTTATAAAAAAAGAAATATTTCAGTTTGTAGTCATATTAGAAGTTTTAACTCCAATCTTTTGTTTTCTGACTAAAAATGATATTTTACACCCATTATACCTTTTATAATACCAAAAAATATTGATAATGATATAAGAAATTATGATAATATTGATTCAAATAAATCCATTTCTCAAGATGAATTCAGAAATACAAAAGATTTCAGAAGAAATCAAAGTTAGGGTTAATTTAGCGATACTTCTCTAGTATATACAGAGTGTTTTAGAAATGTGTCAAAAATATTTATTAATTCCTTAAAAACAACAATTTTTGTCTAATATTTTTCTTCGAAATCTGACACGTTTGTCCAGTATTTTTTACTCATTATAATAACAAGGTGCGTTTATGGATTAAAAAAAATGTATAACATACGCGAATGTGTTATGCAATGATTCACTATTTTAAAGTGTCAAATGCAAGAAATAAAACTAGGTATTGACAGTTGTAGTTGTGTATCATGCCGAATTTTACAAATAGTGAATACGCTTATATGATGTTAGCTTAAGGGGGAGCCCATGGGAGCTCTTCTAGGGCCTATAGGATTTATATGGATTGTTTCCCGAATAGTCTCTTACCAAACAGGCGCACATATTGGAATCACAGATCTTTTAACGGTGATTATGAATCGCGAAAACCTAATCGTACTACGAACATTGAAGATGCCCATTTGGAAAATGTTACAAATATTCCTGATACTAGTACACGTAGACTGGCTTTACAGCACAATGTATCAAAAAGTTCAGTTTGGAGGATTTTAAAATAAACAGATATATCCGTACCATGTAAAAAAGTTCAGTTTTTACAGCCTCAGGATTACCATTATCGACATCGCTTGTGTAACTGGGTATTGTAAAGATTTTCAGTTGAAAATAATGGAGGATATTTTGATCATTTAAAAAAATTAGTGTCGATTTGTCGAAATAACAACATTGATTTGTTTTTGCCGAGTCAAAAGTTTGTCACTTTTTACTTTTGGTCATTTTTTACTTTTTATTAATTTTTAATAGTAACCTAATTAATTCCACATCTTTTTGTTTATTCTTCACCCAACTAAGCATTTCGACTTCATGCTTCAGTGACGGCTAAGAAAACATATATATACAAAGATATAAGTTGTCTTAAAACTAAAAGGTTTCGAAAAAATAAGTAGATAAATGTTGTTGCTTTTGACGAGTTAAATATGTGCTTAAAATTTTGCCTCTTATTTCTGGACACCCTATAGAAGTTATTGTGTATTTATTAAACAACATTTTAAATAAGGAGGTCACGAAAGTGATTACTGAAAACCAAGTAAGTTAATCGGTTATAATTGCACTTTGAATTAATTCGAATTAATGTTTTTATTCACGGTACAAAACGAGGGAATGTCATTACGCTAACAGGAAATGACTTGTAATTCGCCTGCTTTCTGATGCCTCTGATCGCCATCGGTGGGGTGAAACCGAACGGTAGCGGGGTACATGCACTGCCCTTGCCAGCGTTCGGCATTTTACGTGACATAGCCAGACAGCAAAAAAGTAACAAATGCGGCATAAATTTAGTATAAGCCTTAACTTGTACTAGGTATTAAATGTTTAAAAACTTGCTCTGTACAGACAATAAATGATGCCGCCGCTGACTGCTGAGATGTTTCCGATTAGCCCACTAAATCGCGAGTTCATGCCCGTGGCCAACTAAATTAACAATAAATGTGGATGGCTTCTCACGAAGCCATTGCGAAATGTTGCAAAATCATCCGATATTTCTTTAATACAGATTCTTCGTAACACACTGAGCCACTTATCGACGATTTATATTTTACAAAACTATTATAAACACTTGTCTGAAAAAATAATTACGTAACTATTTCTACATGCTGTACAGTTAAATTTTACATCAAATTAATAAATTTATACATATACGCGCAGATCTCGGATAACTGTAACAAATCTCAATACCTACTACATACTTAGTGCGGTGGGCGAGGGCGACTGAAATACCTGAAATGAAATGATTAACATGAATCCAACGAATCTATTAATTGGAACGCAATAAATTCATAAGTTCTGAAAAACATAGAAAATCGAGGCAGAAACTGTAACAGGTGTATTTACCTACATTAAACACATTAAAACCGTTCTTTGCGTCGAATATAGTTAATATTTTTAACAATGGTTTACAATCTTATAGTAATAACTAAGTATGTACTTGCTACTACTTACTAGTTTTTCAAAGATTGCATAATAAATAGATTACGTTGAAATATTTGTCTTGTAGGTAACATCTCGAACTCGAAAATTCCCGTTAGAAAAGTTTTTGTAAAAATTTGTTTATTGTAGCATTTTTACATTAAGATAATCTTGAAATTACAATAAAGCCTTTTGCAAAATATGTCTTAATTTTTTATCTAATGCTGAAGTCAGTCTTTGCAAAATGATTTCCTTATTTAACTATACATTTAGTCTAAGATTAAGAAGTGGTCACAGCAGTTTTTGTAGCTCATTAACATAATACCATTACAACATCAAAACCAACTTCATGGATGGTTAAACCACTGCTTTTATGGTCTTTCAAAAGGTAATTAAACTCACAGAATTTTCAAATTGCGGTTAAAACCTATCTACCAGGACACCTAAAAAGCGAATTTACATTTATTTATAAATCGGAGACTTTTATAACACCTTATAAAAAACTGAATTATTACATAGCAATATCGCGTCGATTAAAACTAAAACCTGGTTATATTTAAAACTTTAACATACAGGGTGAAATATTTTTTAAATTTAACCAACTAATCTAACTAAAATATAAAATAAATTTAAGTGAACTAAGTATATCCCAAGAAATGGATAAAGTACTTAATAATTTTTAATTTTTGTGTTTTTTCAGTAAATGTTGTGGAGGCTTTGCAGGAATTTTGGCAAATGAAGCACGCAAGAGGTGCCGACTTGCGCAATGGCGCCCTTGTAATATATGAGTCGGTGCCATCCAACGCTCAACCTTATGTATGTTACGTTACTCTTCCCGGAGGCTCTTGCTTTGGAAGTTTCCAGGTAAATACAGTAACTTTATCCCTAAACAAAAAAGTTATCCTTTTGTTTTTGCGTATATTGTACACTTATTACAGTTATTATAAATTATTTATAAATGTACACCCTGTAACATATCCATTTTAAACCAAGGTCCTAGAATATTGTTTATTAAATGATATTTCCCATACAATTTCAATAATAACAACTGAAATGATTAACGATATAACTCCGTACTTGCACAGTTCCAATATGGCTCTGACATAATTTATGAACGACTTTAAGTATGATGCAGTACTAGCATAGCTCCAATATGGTTTGTTCACAATCACTGCAAGCATAAATAGATTTATGTAACTTGTCTCTCATAAATTATTAGATTTATTATATCTCTCATTAAATTAGAAAATGAATATTTGAAACTGATTTCAGAACTGCCCGACTAAAGCTGAAGCTAGACGAAGCGCTGCAAAAATTGCTTTAATGAATTCTGTGTTCAACGAACATCCATCACGCAGGATATCAGATGATTTTATAGAAAAAGCTGTAGCAGAAGCTCGATCTTCATTTAAAGGTGAGTACATTTCAAACCATTTGAAGATTTCCAAATTAATATTGAATTTATTGTATGAAGGGGACAGTGAAGAGGCTGACAATCCCAACACAGGTATAGGTGCATTTCGCTTTATGCTGGAATCAAACAAAGGGAGAACTATGCTGGAGTTTCAAGAATTGATGACCGTATTCCAGCTACTTCACTGGAATGGCAGCCTTAAAGCTATGCGTGAACGCCAGTGCAGCAGGCAAGAAGTTGTAGCTCACTACTCAAATAGGGCTTTGGATGATGATATGAGATCTCAAATGGCCTTAGACTGGATCGCGAGGGAGCAGGAATGCGCGGGTTCCTTGAGAAAGGAACTGAACCAAGCAGAAAGAGAGCTCGAATCTGCTAGGCTAGCCGGACGAGAACTACGTTTTCCCAAAGAAAAGAAAGACATTCTTATCTTGGCTCACAGTCAAGTTAACGTCAGTTAACAAGATAAGATGTCCAAAGCTAAGAGAGAGGTAAAATAATTGGAAATAAAAAGAGACATGGAACTGTACTTTCCAGAAACATTTTTCCTCGAATTTACTGTGATAATTTATTGAACAAGTAGAGAACTTTCTTTCTTCGCATATTTTTCATTGTTTAACAAAACAAATAACTACCAATTTATAAAAATGTGGTATATATCCCCCACATAAATATAAAAACTGAGAAAATTTAAATTGCTAAAAATTAAGTAAACGAAATCAAACAAAGAATAAGTCACAGTATGTAACTTTATAGTACTAAAAAGGGACATATATTTTTAGATCAAATGGATATAATTCATCCACATGTTATATTTTAATTAACGTGTTGTATATTATGAACTAAATATAAACGGAATAATTTATAAACATTCTAACATATAAAGCTGTACTGGTGTGTTTTGCACACAATTTTTCTATGCAATCGTAAGTTCCGAAAATAGAACTAAGAAAGAACTAGTAATGCCTTGTTTTGCCTCTATTTTAGTAGAACTGTACACTTGCCATTTAAGAATGTCAATAATGGGCCAGTTTTAACCCAACGACAATGAGAATCAGTGGGTGAAGTTGTGGACAAATGATTTTGTGCATTATAAATCGGTGAAAACGATTTTTTTACTTTCTAGTTCTCAAGGTGCTGGAAAACATTAATTAATAATGCCATAAAACTCTTTGTAAATAATCCAATTTGATGTCAGATTTTATTTATTTAATCAAGGGAACTGCATGGTTGCATTTATAATTATTCAGTAGTGTTTTTACCAGGTGCGACAAAAAATGAATGAAGTTCTGGGTAAAAAAATAAATTTGAAAATAACCTTTGATTATATTAATGTATATGTAGTATATTTTGTAAAAAAATATATAAATAGAGTAAAATCATTTATAATTTTTATTGCATTCCCACTTTTCAAGCAAAACGTTTTAAAACATAGATTGCCAATTCCTGTGAAAAATTGTGATATTCATGGTAGATCTTGAAACAGCCACCATTTTTTGTCCAATCTGGTATAAAATTTGCTTGCATACAGTGGTGGCAGGGTTTCAATTGCATTGATTTTCAAGTGAGAGTAGATAGTAAAAATATTCTCGTTTTCACGATTCTGAGCTGATTGTGTGTCTCAGAAAGGAAGAACTTACTAAGAGAAGGCTCTATATCGTTTCGTTATATATATATTGTGAGACTGTTTTGTTATTACGTAAATTATTTTAATGTTCGTGTTGATATTGTATAATAGGAACTGTCAGTTTGTTTAGAGATCTCTTATTGCTTTATTATCGTTAATGTTTTATTTTACCAAAAACCTGCCTCCATTCATGCGGAATGCAAGATAGTTTACAAATTTTTAGTGAACTATCTCTCTCTTGTAATACTTTGAAATGTGATCGGTATAATATTTATTTTAGTTTGTTATAGTGATCTGTGTTTTAACTTTAAAAGTTCTGGAGTTCTTCCTAAATATTTTATATGATCAAGGTGGAAGTTGGTTTTTGTTGCACTTTATTAGCTATTGCTGAATTTACTAGCTACTGTGTTGACTGATTAATATCGCTATTGCTGACATACACTGCTAATACATATTTTATATAAATACATTTTTTATTAATTTTGTTTGTTTATTTCCCTTTAAATATATCTATATGAAACCCAAATAGTAAGAAATTAATAAAAAGTCGATAAACCATGTAACATGTCAAGAATTTCAAACTAATAAAAATGATATTAAAGACAAGATTTAGGAACTATTTTCACAACTGTGGACAAATATAATGTTGCTAAAATCCTTACCATTTGTGTTATAATTAAGAATATGTACAGGGTGGGCAAATAAGCGAGGTAAGTGGCTGTATCTCAGAAACTAGTGATCCTAGAGAGCTACGGTACAAAATGTTATAGGTAAAGTGGGCAAGGGAAAATGCTGGAAATTATTTTCAAGTTTCCAAGATGGCCGCCAGTGGGCGTTTCCACCATATTGAATTACATAAAGTTACGTTTCTCACGATTTTCCCCAATGAATGTAACAAAAAAGTATTTGCGTTTTAATGTTAACTTAAAGTCGAACATTTTTTGTAAAAACAATTTTTCTCTATCTTTCGAAATAAAGTGGTGGGGGGTATTTGAATGTTGTTTGAAATAAATGCCTGTAACTTCGAAACGGCTTAATGGATTTGGATAAATTTGGTATCATTGAAAAGAGCATTTCTTGGGCTTTTAGGTTTCTCGTAATCATGACAGTTGCGACCTACACGGCCGCCGATAGAGGGCGTTATTCGATATTATAACCAAAATATTGGATTTTCTCAAAAAATTTAAATGCGATGATATGACTTTTTTTAGACTAGAAAATAGACAAATGACCAACCAATAAGCCTGCGCAAACCGCATCTTAATATCTTTTTCCTAACTCAAATTATTAAAAAAAATACTAAACCAGGAAAATTCATATATCCCCATTTAAAAATGCATCGGTTGCTTTCGATAAGAAGGCAAGTAGTAGGCCATGGAAATAAAAGACAAACTCCTCTCTAAAATATTCACAAGAAATGTCAGTTTATTTAGTGCTGTGATTTTAAGTCGCACGTTTTCGTATTTATAAGCGATTTTCCTTTTAAATAAAGTTGTGGTCCTGAAAAGGACCGATTTTGAAAAAAGATTAATGCCTTCTGTGTTCAAATTGCCTTCCGTCATATTCCACACATTGTTCCAGTCTTTCTTGAGTCGACAGAACCGCAGCCTCGATTTCTACCGCTGATAGTTGACGAATTGAGTTTCGAATTCTGTTTTCCATATCCATTCGTGTTGTTGGTGGAGTTTGAAAAACAATGTCTTTTAAGCGTCCCCACAAGTAAAAATCAAGACATGTCAAGTCCGGAGATCTTGCCGGCCAAGGAAATAGGCTTCCCCTTCCTATCCAGCGTTCTCGAAAGGTCCCGTTAATATGGTTTCGGACATTAATTGAATAATGTGCCGGACAACCATCTAATTGCAGAAACATAGTTCTCCTAGTTTCGAGTGGCACATCTTCCAACAAAATTGGCAAGTCGTTGATCAAAAACTCTAAGAAGCGGTTACCAGTTAAAGCTTGATCAAAAAAATAAGGTCCAATAATTCTGTCCCCAATGATACCGCACCACACATTTAGGCTCCAGCGTCCCTGGTGCTGCACTTCTCTTAACCAATGCGGATTTTCAGCGGACCAATAATGCATATTATGACGGTTTACTCTACCATCACTACTAAAGGTAGCCTCGTCGGTCCAGAGAATTTCCGTTAAGAAATTTCTGTTTTCCTCAAGCATGCCTAGCATCCATTGACAATAATTTAATCTATTATCGAAATCTTGTTCATTTAGCGCCTGGTGCAAAACTATGTGGTAAGGATGTAATCTAAAAGTAAAAAACAACATATGCGTAAAAATAATATAATCAGAATAACACTGAATTGTGTATTTGAGAGTATGTGCTAAGATACTTGGAATAAGATAAAATTATTTACCTATAATCTTTCAAAATATTTCTAACAGTTGTTCGTGCTATTCCCAAGTCTAGAGACAATGTTCTAGTTCCTACATGTCTATCAAATTCTATGTAAGCCAAGACATTGATAATGTTTTCTTCGGTCCTTCCATTGCGACGCCTGCGACGTTTAGGACGACGAAAACTTCCAGTATCGCGTAATCGCTGTACCAAGCGCGGAAACATTCTTCTCCCGTAATGACGGCGATCTGGATACCGTGCCGCGTACTGTCTTGCAGCTATAGCTGCATTTTGAAAACACTCGAAATAAATCGCAATCATGTCAACGGCTTCATTATTTGTGAGAGGCATTTTGATTAAAAAGTACTCAAATTATACGCAATCAACAATATTAGGCTGCGTGTGACAAAAGTTTGACGTTACTTGGCAATATTTTTGTTAGGCGATTGTCGTGTCCATGGCCTACTACTTGCCTTCTTATCGAAAGCAACCGATGCATTTTTAAATGGGGATATATGAATTTTCCTGGTTTAGTATTTTTTTAAATAATTTGAGTTAGGAAAAAGATATTAAGATGCGGTTTGCGCAGGCTTATTGGTTGGTCATTTGTCTATTTTCTAGTCTAAAAAAAGTCATATCATCGCATTTAAATTTTTTGAGAAAATCCAATATTTTGGTTATAATATCGAATAACGCCCTCTATCGGCGGCCGTGTAGGTCGCAACTGTCATGATTACGAGAAACCTAAAAGCCCAAGAAATGCTCTTTTCAATGATACCAAATTTATCCAAATCCATTAAGCCGTTTCGAAGTTACAGGCATTTATTTAAAACAACATTCAAATACCCCCCACCACTTTATTTCGAAAGATAGAGAAAAATTGTTTTTACAAAAAATGTTCGACTTTAAGTTAACATTAAAACGCAAATACTTTTTTGTTACATTCATTGGGGAAAATCGCGAGAAACGTAACTTTATGTAATTCAAGATGGTGGAAACGCCCACTGGCGGCCATCTTGGAAACTTGAAAATAATTTCCAGCATTTTCCCTTGCCCACTTTACCTATAAAATTTTTTACCGTAGCTCTCTACGATCATTAGTTTCTGAGATACAGCCGCTTACCTCGCTTATTTGCCCACCCTGTACATATCTAAGTACACAATTGATAAAGATGTATTGTTAGGCACATACTTAAAATCACAAAACACATTGAAAAGTATGTGTGCAATTTTCCTAATAAGTAAGGTAAAATTAAGATTTATGAATTGTTTAGTTTTAAAATATTATGAAAAGCCTTAAGTTGCCTCTAGATAGTCAATCATTTTGATCAAAAGATTGCGACAAATGGTTTAGTCAAGCATGATTGACTGTAGGAAAGTCAAGGCCTACTTAAAGCTGTTTTTGAAACCATTGTGTCGGTGGTAGATATGTAGGTACACACTATATTTATAACCCACAAAAACGTAGCTACACAAAAAAGCACGCTTTCACTATTTACTTTGGCTAAGATTTACATGGAAACTCCACTACGAATGAGTTGATTAAAAGTTTGGCGAGCTGATTGAAGCGCGCGTCAATCGATTGACTAAATCTTTTGATCAATAGATTGATTGTATACGATCTAGGGCCTGCTTTATCATCAAATGTTAGCGAAATAAATTCACAGAATTACCTATAGTATTCGATCTGAATTTCGTAGTGATTGATCGTTTTGTATGAGAAAACGTCATACAAATGAAATATTGATAGTTCGTTTCAAATATGTTAAAAAAATATTAAGTTAAAGCAAATAAACAAAAACAATATAACAAAACATATACATACATACACATATTTCATATATTCCCTGTTTGAACAGAATTTTTGCACTGCACACGCACTCACTTATAAAAAACATATTAGACAAACAAGCGTCACAAAAAAAACAAAACAGTTCACTTTTTCAACGACTAATGGCATTGGCGGACGTTTTAAGTTGATGACACTTTTGCCAACAGTTAAAACATAATTATTTGTATATGTAATTACTGCTGCTAAATTTACATTTATTAAATTAATAACAAAATAGATTAATCAATCAAGAAAGTATATATTTATCATAGAATATTATTCAAGTATTCGAATTTGACAGCACTGCTACGCTATCTGGCGGATTTAATTTAAAATTATAATTTTATATGATCTAATTAGATGTAAAAAGTAATAATATATTACATATCTATTCTTGAATGATTTTCTTTGTTAAATTTTGTCGTTGAGGAAACATATTTTTTTAGAATATTTGGATAATGAGAAATCTAATCTAGGTACTTGCACTTAAAAACTTAAGAATATTTCAGATTCACACATTTATACTAATATTTACACCCCTTGTACATAATATTCAAACATTCGAATTTAATTATTTGTAAGGTGGCGCCACATGTAATGCTCTAGAAAGAAGAAGAAGCCGAATTATTGATGTTCAAATGAATTCCAAACAAATCATGTACAGAATTCTGTTTGAGGAGCCCTCTATGAACTGGACAGCAACAACTGCAGAGTTCGTTGTTCGTTTCGCTGCATTGAAAAACTACCCGCAGCGCGCTGTGGTGTAAGTTTTCATCTCCTATCGCTGTCAAAAATACACCGAGTGCAGTGGAAAAGACAGAAAAGAGTAGATCCGTGGTTCCGCCCCCTATTTTTATACAAATTATAATGAAGGTTCCTAAACAGTTTTAATTTGTTATATAAAAATAAAATTGGATCGTTGGACATTCGTTTTATTGGGTCAAACATTATTTTTTTACGTGTACTGTGTTTGCGGCGTGCTATTATTCGATTTAACAATGTGTGACTTAGGTGGTAAAGTTAGTTAAGTTAGTTAAGTATTCTCATCAGACGTCGAGTTTAATTGTTTACGATTTAACAGTTCAACTGAGCTTGCCCTTTTTAAAAGCCTTATTATTTATTACAAATTGGCATGATTACATAGACACGATGACGGTTGATTTCAATGATTATTTTTGGGTAAGTTTTTGTGAAATTGATAACCTACACCCTACTTTGACATTCTAATTTAATTACCTGAATTATTTATTTACTAGGGGGAGAAAAACAATGGATTTGATGTGCTATATCACAATATGAAGTATGGACTTGTGGCAAGTAAAGAATTTGCTGATTTTCTCAGGGAAAGGTAAATGTTTATATTACTCATCTTTTGACTGGATGTTAGTTTATTTATCATATACATTCCCCATTACTTTGTTTCTCATTTAGATTCAAATAATCTGTCATCCAATTTCCAAACAAGTTTTTAAATGTTTATTCTAACTTCAAACTTTTTCGAAACACTGCGGTATCTGTTACTTGTACGCATTTTATTTTTTGTTTTAGATCGAATATCGAAGAGAATAATTCTAAGTTATTAAGTAAGTTAGCAAAGCAAGCTGGTAGTTGTTGCGTCCATGGTACTTTTGCACCGCTATGGCAAGTTTTGAAAACATCAGCAGAACGTTTGTCCATTCTGCATATGCAAATGGTACAAAAAGTTTCCGATTTGGTAAAGGAAGTTAGCAAATATGCAGAGGAACTTCATAAGAAACATAAGTTGGTAAGTGTTTATTTTACAAATATAAACTAAATATCCATTATAACATTTCTTACAACAGTTACTGTTTTTTAAAAAGATATGTATATGTTTGCTTAAAATTTCTTTAATTTGTATTGGTAATTTTTTTCTGAATACCTTCGTTATTTTTATTATTTGTTTTATTTAATCTGAATTCATTTAATCTATTAATCTGCTTAATCTAATTAATATTTTAATTTATAATTTTTTTTATTTCAATTTTATATTTTTAGATAGTGTGATTAATTTTAAAATGTTAAACATTTAAACTATAAATAATGAATATAAATGAATGATACTTTTGAATTTATTTTCAACTAAATTTATAATATATGTAAAATCAGGTTCTTTTGCAGTAATTTTCCATTATTTATAACATATTGTATTCCATGTTAAACTTTTTGAAATCTTAAATTCATATATGTACTTTAAAATTTTTTACAACTTTGTCATTACAAAAATAGTTTTTATGATAGTTAATACTGTCAGTAAAATTAACAAATAGACTCTTATTTGGCCATAAACATATTTGCTGGTTATAATACTCAACAGTGGAACCAAGTAATCTATCATAACAGCAAATTGATTTTCTGTAGCTGTTTGATGTAACAGCATTGATTACCTACTATAAAGGATAATGGCCAATGCTATTCCTGCACATAAAATCTATATTATATTTTCTATGAATAAAAAATAGATTTTATTGTGATAATAAAAATAAAACTAGATATTTAAATTATCATCTAGGTAAATTTGGAGCAATATACAAGATGTTTTAAAAATAACAAAGAAATAAGACACAAAAACAGATGAATTAATTTTCTGTTTTTCATTACGGTTTTAAACCTGTTCTTTTTTATTTACCTATTTATCTCTTTAAAACATTTGCAATTGTTTCATTGGTTTAGCTCTAAATTAAAAAAAATGAATACCTATTTTAGAATAATTTCAAACTACATATAAGTATGTCACTGTTTATCTATAATATTAAAATAATTTGTTTATTAATTTTTTTATCTTATTAGACATTTGCCATTATTTTTTTTATACAGTATTGAATTGTTAAACACATTATTTCAGTCTGATTCATTTAAACATTAAAAATATTGATCTTTCATCATATGAGTATTAATCACAGTTTAAATACCAATTACCTTACAGGATAACTTATTTTATTTTGTTTATGTGGCAATTTGAATATGTATTTATAAAAATTTTATTTTTTCCACATCTGAAGGTTGAGATCGCATGTCATTTCGGTTTATACTTATTTTTTATGACATCCAGGTTAAGGAGGAAGAATCTGGTACCCTAGAAGCAGTCCAAGCGATGCAAACAGTTACTTTAAATGTGCAAAAAGCAAAAGATACCTACAGTCAACGTGGACTTGAACTTGAACGATTGCGTAAGGAGAGTACGTCGGCCAAGGAAATAGAAAAAGCTGAGCAGAAACTGAAAAAAGCCCAAGAAGATTACAAGAACTTTGTCGATAAATACAGTAGCGTTAAAGAGGACTTTGAGAAGAAAATGTCAGTGACATGTAAGAACTTCCAAGAACTGGAAGTGAATCATTTGCTTCACATGAAGGAATTCTTAAATAATTATGCAGAGGTCGTGGAATGGACTCACGAGCAGATGGGGAAGGTGCATAAAGAGTTTCGACAGCAGTGTGTTGAGCTCACTGTCGATCAGCTCCTAGAACAATTTGTACGGAGCAAGTCTACAGGACTTGAACGCCCAGGTGAGTAAATTAATGTAATGTTTATCTGACAAGGTCAAGATGATTTAAATTGTTTGATTTTAAACATGCTTTCGCTTTAAAGCCGACTTTTAATGACAGAAAATCTTAAATCAAAAACTTAACATTACAATTCAAAATTCGTTATATTTCCCATTCCATAGAAATAATGGACGCATAATAATAGTTATATTGTCTGAAATAGTTTATTTGTGGATTTCTTTAATGGTTTTTTTTCGCCACGCAGTAAACCAAAAAAATAGTTAATAAACAGTTTATTTACAGTGAACTCGTGTACGAAAATTTGCAAAGGGTCAATTTAGATAGAAGGAACCAGAAATAAATTTTTTTAAATATTTTTGTGAATCTTTGAAGTGGAGAAATGCAAATTTTATCAAAACTATTTATTTGAGAATCAGTGAAATCACAAAATCATTTTGCTACACACACACACACACACGCTGAAGAGACATGGGGAGAATAAAAATTTTCTTTTGTAAATTGTTAATTCATTTGTCTTTATTCTCTGACGATACCAGTAAACTATGGCCTAAATGTTTAAAATTTACAGATTTGTATAAGCACTGAATGGTAAGACAAGAGTTACTGCTACCAGTAAGTGTGCCAATATGTGAATTAAAAATGTCCCAACACATTAATTTATATTTCATAAAATGGGTTTCTGTAATAATTGTTTCAAAAATTGCTTATATTTTTAATTTTAGTAACCGAAAACTTGTAAGCAAGTTATAAAAAGTACTAAATATGATATTGCTGAAAAGAATGATTGCGACATTTTAGAATTCTTAAAACGTTTTTAAAATTTATTTCAACAATCTGAAACCTACAATTACTAGATAATGAATATTGGCGACGAATATTTTTAGGAAATATTTTATTTTTTAAGTTCTAAGAAATCTAATGTCAGTCTATTTTTTTTTAATTTTATGGAGTTACAAAGTAGTCAAAATAAAACTACTTATAATGTTACAATTTATGTAAGTATTTAATTTATTTGGACTGGATTTATGAACAAAATACTTCCTCTACGGAGAGGTTTGCTCTAGTATATTCTAATTTGTCAAAAAAAATTGTTGACATTTTTGAAAAGTTTTTATTAAGTAATATAAAAATAAATTTATATAAGAAAGAAAGATTAATAAATTGATACCTCCCAGGTGCATTAGATCTGGAGGACCCGCTGACATCTCCCACCCAGGAACTAGAACCGAAGCCAGCAAAGCGCGAAGGTAATGGTCATAGTGAGCAGACAGTGCCAACACATGCCAAAACATCCCGTCGAACCACCTCTCTCCTAAATTTGTTCATGTCTAACTCTCAGGGTATGTTACGGACACTCGGTGGCTATAGCGATTTTTAACTGGGGCTTGGGCTATTTTTTAGGCACACGCGAGAGTCGGGCAGGTCCTTGCAGCGCACCTTCAAGCCCCACTAGTCCTGAGGGCGAGCAACAGCTGACACGCCAATCGCACAGAGGATCTAAGTGTAATTTTTCTTTCTCTCTAGATGTACCAGTGTACCCGACTTGTAACTATGATCTCGTATAAAATTCCTTTATGGTAATCGACAGTTTACTAAAAAATAATGAATCCGGTGTTCCACAGGAGACAGTTCCAGAGCCAATTATGATTTTTTTTTGTATATAATTGTATAAAGGAGTTTTATATCTTACTAATTTTCTCATTACAAGTATCACAGCTGCATGAATGGGTCCATCTTATCAATTGGTGAAGGGTTTATTAAGTCATAGTCTTATATATTTCTTTTCAGCTGTTCCTGTCCCTTTCTTCCAATTTAATGCTAGTAGTATCTTTATTTTTCTACCCCGCATTATATTCTATACAATGTAGTCACTATAATTTAATTTGCACGTAACATTCTTTATTAAGTATTTTTGGTATTGTGTTGGCCAGTTTTTTAAGTTGTAGCACATACCTTTATTCTGATTATCTAATTGACCGTTTCTGACATTTAAAAATGGACGTTTGTTCCATCACATGCTTTACACTCCTTCTTTTAATAGCTCCATTCTTTTTTTTTTACTTTTTATTCAATTGCTTAAAATTTTAGGGTTCCTAAGGAGCAGAAGGGATAAAGCTAAGCAGAAGAAGTCCAAGAAAAAAGCTAAGGATAGCGTTGACAACCAAAGCAACAAGGAAGAAAAGTCTGACTTGTAAGTGGAAATAATTGTTTAATTTAGAATTGGTTATTGCGTACAGCGTGATTTATTTGACAGTCTTATAACGTTACACACTTACACTACACAAGATACTACAATAAATACCTCTTTAAATTTTACTATAAATTAAACTTAATAAAATACAACTCTGCAATATACAAATTCTTTTCGATTCCAGTAAAAACTAATTTTCATACCGAAAGTCGCAAAATTATCTACTGTATATTACAAATACTTTCTCATAAACCAATAGACTGAAGACTAGAATAAATGTATTAAAATGAAACGGTGACATATTCGGCCATTCCTGTTCTCCAAATTAACTTTGTTGTTTGTCTGCCTAGCACCCTGTTGTAATATAACATCAGACGAATTGACATTATGTTTACTTAAACTGGGTCAATTTCAGAGGACATTGACACTGAGATTCACATACTAAACACAGTGCTTTAAACAAAGAGTAACAAATATTTTTTATTAAAAACTTTTATTTTAAAAAATGTTTTATATCAAAAATAATATTTTTAAAACATAAATTAGTTTAGCTTATAATGAGCAGCATATATACAGGGCTATCCAAAAGTCCCCATACGTCAGAAAAACTTTCGAAGAATGCATTTTGGGAAAAATGTTTCAGACAGAAGTGTATGGATTTTTCCTTGGCTATCTGATGGTGACCTTGGATTTGAATTTGACTTTGACCTTCAAGGCCATTTGAAGGTCAAGTTAAGTTTTTTAAATGGGAACCCCTATTTTTTATTGCAGATTTGGAAAGAGCAGGAAATTTGACGTCCAAATATGGTCTTGACCATGACTTTGACAATGACCTTCAAGGGCAAATGTGGGTCGAGTTCCAAAAGTTCCGGTACGGCAGAAAAATTTTTGAAGAATGCATTTTGGGAAAAATGTTCCAGACAAAAGTGTAAGATTTTTTCCTGACTATCTGATGGTAACCTTGAATTTGACCTTGACTTTGATCTTCAAGGTCATTTGAAAGTCGAGTAAAGTTTTTTAAATGGGAACCCCTATTTTTTATTGCGGATTTGGAAAGAGCAGGAAATTTTACGTTTTATTATGACCTTGACCAATTCCTTGACATGACCTTCAAGGTCAAATGTCGGTCGAGTTCTAAAAGTCCCGGTACGGCAGTACTCCTGACCAATTAACGCAAGGTAGCGTTTAGTCTAGACCAATTAAGGCAAGATGGTGTGTATACCTGACCAATTAAGGCAAGGTGGTGTGTATACCCGACCAATTAAGGCAAGGTAGCGTGTACTCCCGACCAATTAAGGTTGTAAGCCTTGTCTTAACTGGCCGAGATTGTTAGCTATTCCTTAACTGTCCGGGATCATTAGCCTTGCCTTAACTGGCCGGGCTATCTCCTTGCCTTAACTGACTGGGATTGCTAACTACTAGTGATGTAACGAATATCCGCATTCGCGAATATTCGTTTGTTTTATGATATTCGCATTCGCATTCGCAAATATCTTTGAATATTTTGCGAATATGAACGTGAAAGAAAAATACAGAATGTGAAAACAATATTAGGTAACTTAAACAAAATAGTATTCATTTCTTTTCTTTTTAATTACAAAACTTACTTAAAACAATTACATCTTTCTATAATCAAGAAGTTGATTTACTCATGTTAAGAAATAACTAACAACAGTCTAACCTCACAATTCACAAACTCATCTGAGCCGGTAGCGAAAACAAAACAAAATTCCAATCATACAAAAATACCGTTCTACCAACTTAACAACGCTAATTTCTTTAGCCTCTAGCGCCGCTGTCACCGGAAATATGTGTGTCGCGCCCGGTATATTTTGAATCATAGATAAACGGCGCTAGATTTAAAAACTGAATATTCGTATTCGCATTCGCGAATGTCAACAACAGATGTTCACATTCGTTACATCACTACTAACTACCCTATAGTGACTGAAATTTTTTAAATTCTTGAAAAAATCTTATTAAAATAACCTTCTAATCCTGGTTCAAGGCCAAGAGCTTGATTATGGTCATATTCGTACATTTGTTTTTCCGTTCTTCCTAACTTATCAAAAAATAATAGTTATTGTAAATAAATTAACCTGACTTTGACATGATCTTGAAGGTCATTTTCAAAGTCGTAGTCAAGGTCGTACTTGAAGGTTAAAAATCAGCTCTTTCCAAATCCGTAATAAAAATAGGGATTACCAATGAAAAAACAACTTTGACCTTGGAATGACCTTGAAGGTCATTGTCAGTCATGGTCAAGACCATATTTGGACGTAAAATTTCCTGCTCTTTCCAAATTTGCAATAAAAAATAGGGATTATTCCCATTTAAAAAACTTAACTTGACCTTCAAATGACCTTGAAGGTCAAAGTCAAGGTCAAATCCAAGGTCACCATCAGATAGCCAGGGCAAAAACCTTACATTTTTGTCTGGAACATTTTTCCCAAAATGCAGTCTTCAAAAGTTTTTCTGCCGTACCGGGACTTTTGGATACCCCTGTTTATATACAGGGTGTTCCGAAATTCATGCAACAAAATTTAGTCATAGATTCTTAAGACAAATTTAGGGGACCCATATTTTTTCTTTTTGCCAACTGGCCTCCTCTTTCGGAGTTACAGCCCCCTGAAATTTGCCCCTAAGAAATCCTTTTTATATCTCAAAACCATGTTGTACGAGAATCACTAAATTTGGTACACAGGGGATTTATGACATATGGAATCTCACACTGCTACGCTTTTTGGCGAGAAACCCCCTTAAGACACTTTTTCGTGGGCCCCCTTGACTTTGGAACCAGAAAAATTTGGTCGCAAATTTGATTTTTTTTTAAATTATTAGTTAGCTAGAAAGCCATTGAATTTAGAAACTTTTTTGTCACTTGATATTTGTTTCGTAAAACGTAATGTTTTTCAGGAAAATGGCGAATCACGATATGCATTCAATCACATTTTGATATTTTTCTCAAAAACATTGCGTTTTACAAAAAAAGTATAAAGAGACAAAAAGTTTCTAAATTTAATGGCTTTCTAGTGGACTGATAATTTTTAAGAAATTTAAATATGCGACCAATTTAAGAATCTGTGACCAAATTTTGTTGCATGAATTTCGGGACACCCTGTATATCCCCATAAGAATTTTACTTAATATTTAATAAATCCAATCATGCAAAAAATATAATTTTTTTTAAACACACTCATAAATCATGAGCTCATATTGTCCTGAAGTTTTACAGGTGATGTTTTATATGGTAAAGTATCCTACCTTTAAAAAACTAACGGGTTGTAATAAATCACCCTGTATGTGGATAAGATGTTGAAAGGTTGAACTAAAAAAATTGGTAGTGCAAAATTAAAATGGCTGGATGAGAATAGATTTCACTCATATTTTGAGGCCGTGTATATTTTATTTTATGTGGATCTTTGTATAGGGAGGAAAAGGACGATTCTCAGAAAAGCCAAAGGACTGGTGAACCGACAGATCCCACAGCCCAGGAAGTAGACGAGGACGGTTATGTTATAAGACCGAATGTATCTCACAATTGGAATAGTGAAAAAGGAAGTTTCTATTCATCATCAGACTCTGATTCAGGTAAAAAAAATAATAAGGCAAAAAATGTCATAATTGAATTGTACTCAATAAATTTATATTTTATTGCAGATGATGATAGGGAGCGCAAAATACATGTCGAAATAAAGCCACTAAATAATGGTTCGGCGCCAATGTCAGCCTCAGTCGATGAACTCCGAGCCACAGTAGAAAACATGTCATTGTCTCCAACCGGCGGCTTTGGGAGACGTGGATCAAACTTGGACTCGGACTTGTCAATGAAACGCTCTCAGTCTGTGTCACAGCAGCTTGGAAAACCAAGTAGTGATTTGTTAGGCCTAAGCTTTTTACAAAGCCCTACTGCTTCGAATGCATCGACGCCTACTAGTTCACACCCCTATGCCCCACTACAGAGCCCATCACAGCTAGCTTTGAATTCCCCTACTCTATCCGTGTCTTCAAAATATACAGGTAACAGTTTAAAAAAAAATGGTGTTATTTGAAAGAGGGGTTCGGTTATTTTATATGTATTTTTTAAGAATTAGGTGAAATATTCTCCGAGGACGGCGAACTTCAGCAGCCTCCAGCGAAACAGCCTCATCGTCAGTCTCAAACAACTTCTGGCTATATGTCTATCCCTAGACCTCCATCACGTCGTTCTGATCCATCAAGAAATTTGATGGCTCAAAGTAGCATTTCGCGTGCAGATAGTATCAGTAGTTTGGAGTTCCGCACTGCTTGTGTTCCAATGGGCGTCTCCAGGGGCCCCTCGCCTTTAACCATCGGGATGGCAGACACCATTCCTTTAGCTGTCGCTTTCCACGAGATTGTTCATTCATATTTTCGAGGAGCGGATGAAACCAGGTGAGTGCATTTTGTAAAAATAGAGATGTGTATTTTTAGTACTATTAGACATTTTGAATAATTCGTGTTGGCAAATATCCGGACATTTTAGACACTTATACGGACATTTTAGAAAATAAAATGTGATGGATTTAATGTACAGCACATGTCGTAAGCTTCAAGATGATGCCAAATACTTATATTTTATTAGAATATATTCTCTGAAATACAAGAATTAGGTGAACAATGAAGATTTTTGTAACAGTTTTCAATTTTCGTCTATCCTTTACCAGGTTGTGGTTAACATAGTAAAAAATTAATAGTTTTAATTATGAAATTATGAATTAATTTGCGGAAGTTTAAATTGCTATTGTATACTTACATGTGAACTGAAATGAAATGAAATAAACAAACTATACAAAAATGAAAAGTAAATAAAATAAATTGAATTTGACCTTTAAGGTCATTTGAAGATCAAGTTAAGTTTTTTAAATGGGAACCCCTATTTTTTATTGCGGATTTGGAAAGAGCAGGAAATTTTACGTCCAAATATGGTCTTGACCATGGCTTTGACAATGACCTTCAAGGTCATTCCAAGGTCAAAGTTGTTTTTTCATTGGTAACCCCTATTTTTTATTATGGATTTGGAAAGAGCTGAAATTTATCCTTCAAGTACGACCTTGACTACGACTTTGACAATGACCCTCAAGATCATGTCAAAGTCAGGTTAATTTATTTACATTAACTATTATTTTTTTGATAAGTTAGGAAGAACGGAAAAACAAATGTACGAATATGACCATAATCAAGCTCTTGGCCTTGAACCAGTATTTGAAGGTCATTTTAAAAAGATTTTGTCAAGAATTGTAACAAATTTCAGTCACTGTAGGGTAGCTAGCGATCCCATAAGGCAAGGAGATAGCCCGGCCAGTTAAGGCAAAGCTAACGATCCTGGACAGTTAAGGAATGACTAACAATCTCGGCCAGTTAAGACAAGGCTTACAACCTGTGTTCTCTATCAACATTTTGGCAGATTCTTAAACGGACATAAGAATTTTCAATTGCACTCCTTATCATATCAGATGTAATATCAGCGCAAACATTGACTATTTTTGTTTTAGATCTTCTAAATATCGTGGTTTAGGAGCGTACACTTTATTTTTTATGTAGCCCCAAAGAAAAAAGTCAAGTAAACACAGATTAGGGGACCTAACTGGCCCCTCAGTAGTTCATCTCCGACCTATCCAATGATTATTAAATATTACATCTAGGTAGTTTCTCTCAGTCGCCCGAAAATGAGCAGGTGCACCATCTTGATGGTACCAAAACTCATTTTAAAAATATTGTCCACCATCTTAGATTACGAATTTTCAAAAACTGATTAAGATTCGTGATCAGTGACCCCAAAACCCCGTATACCAAATTTGGCGTAAATTGGTTGATTTTTTAAAAATATTGTCCGCCATCTTGTATTACGAATTTTTAAAAACTGATTTCAGATTCGTGATCAGCGACCCCAGGAACCCCCGTATACCAACCAAATTTGGTGTAAATTGGTTGATTTTTTAAAAATATTGTCCGCCACCCGTATACGGGTGTTTCCATCCTCTTAAGTTTATTTATTTATTTATTTATTTATTTATTTATTTAAGAAGTAGGAAACCCAACAAGATTAAAAATCCCAATAACAGGGTAACACTAAACAAGTAACAAAAAACAAGGTGATGAAGTACAATATAAACATAATCTAACTAATGTGACAATACACAAAAAAAGACAAAAAAAAATTACCTATAAGAAATTATACACTTCCTCACAGAGGTTTTATATCTATTCAAAGAAATATTAAAGATATCAACTAGTTGACATAGATTGCTATTAAAATATCTTGGAATTCTATGAAACGGTGAATTTAAATTATAATTACTATGCGAGAGTTGAACATAGAAAACCGAGAACTGACGGTTAGCATACACCGGTGCTAAAAAATTTAACAGAGACAAAATATCTGTATCAAAATATCCATGAACAATTTTATATAACAAAACACAATCAAAAAATTGTCTACGCTCTTCTAAACTAAGCAATTTATGTACATTAAGAAGTTCTTATATGGAACGTGTATATAATATGCCTTTTGAGGATACTTGAAAAATAGTTACTTTCGCTGAGGACTACACGCTACCTTGCCTTAATTGGTCGGGACTACATGCTACCTTCCCTTAATTGGTCGCGCACCACCTTGCCTTAATTGGTCAGAACTACACACCACCTTGCCTTAATTGGTCAGGAATGTTTTTACGAATTAAAGAATTAAAGACTAGACGCTAGCTTGCCTGAATTGGTCGGATATACACACCACCTTGCCTTAATTGGTCGGGTATATATACCACCTTGCCTTTAATTGGTCGAGACTAAACGCTACCTTGTGTTTATTGGTCGGAGTACTGCGGTACTGTAACTTTTGGAATTCGACCCACATTTGACCTTGAAGGTCATGGTCAAGGAATTGGTCAAGGTCACAGTTAAACGTAAATTTTCCTGCTCTTTCCAAATCCGCAATAAAAAAATAGGGGTTCCCATTTAAAAAACTTGACTCTCAAATGACCTTGAAGGTCAAATCCAAGGTCACTATCAGATAACCAGGGAAAATTCCTTACACTTTTGTCTGAAGCGTTTTTTTCTAAAATGCATTCTTGGAAAGTTTTTCTGCCGTACCGGGACTTTTGGATAGCCCTGTACAACATATATCCTCCTTATTCTCCTTATTCGCGGTTTCGCTATCGTGGACCAAAAAATTGTGACCACTTCCCGTATTCACGTGTGAAAATTCTGTATACATGAATCTAAAACTAACGATACCCACATATCTTGTATTTTTAGAATGGCAAATGAGCTTTGTGCTTTCTTCATAAAAATTGATCCGTCTATGGAAAGAAGTCTCGCTTTTGAATATCAATCTGAATTAAAAGGCCTGCTATTAGCAGCAAAACAAAAAAAATCGCTAATATTGTTAAAATTTATCTCATTATTTATCTTTTATTATATTTTTTTATTATTTTGCAACCTTGAAACGTATCGTCTATATTTCCATACAAAATGCCACTCCGTATTTGCGGTACATTTTTGGAAAGTATTCCCCGCGAATAAGGACCTTTGACTGTATTCAGTTTGCAGTTTGCATGTTTCTCGACATTTATTGACACTTTATTATAATATCTCCAAATCAAAGTTTCTGATTTAACCATCTTTAATTCAAATAATTGGAGTGAAAACCACAAAGAAACTATAAAATAATTCTAAGAGATTGTAACAATTTTGAATTGAAGATTTTAGGATTTTTAGGTTAGCTCAGATAGCTGAAAATGGCGGTAATTATAAATCTGGAAGAAGTCTGGACAAATACGATAAATGTCTAGATATTTTCGTTCTGTTCAGACACTTTTGGACACATGTCTGGAGACTTAAGGACATTTATATAAGTGTCTGCGAGCACTAGTAAAGCGATTTCTTTTTAATTTTTCAGGTGTCAGGTGAAGATGTCGGGGGAGATGATGTTATCTTTTCCAGCAGGAATAGTAACAATTCTTGCGAATAATCCAAACCCTGCGAAACTAGTGTTTAACGTAAAGAATACTCAAAGATTGACCAGTATATTACCAAACAAGCAGTTAGTTGCGATGTACGTCGTTCACTCATCAAGTTTATTAATTATTAATAAATATTTTATTACAGTGACAATGGGCAATCATCACCCGATTTTATAGGAGTGGAATTCAATATGTCCGCTCTTAGCTCTTTATTGAAAAGACAGTCCGAACAGAATCCCAGTGCTTCTTATTTTAATGTTGACATATTGAAGTATCAAGTAAGTATATTGAGATACATGGAAGGGGTTATTATTTTATTATAATATTCGTAGATTAAACCAAAGCCAGGGGCAAACTCTTGCCCATTTCAACTGGTAGCCTATTGGAAATGTTCAAGTGCCCATACAGATCTAAAAATTGACTACAAATATAATTCACACGCTATGAGTTCACCCACTCCTCTATTAAACGTTACTGTTGCTGTTCCCGTGCTTGGCTTAGTAAAAAATATGCAGACAAAGCCTATAGCGCAATGGTAAGAAAATATTATTAAGGGAACAGTTAAAAAAAATATGTTCCTGTACAATTTCTTTTCAGGCCTACTGAAAGCAATAGACTTATATGGAAATTTACGGAACTGTCCCAGCATTCAGAGAATCACGGTGTGGGGTCGGTAGCAGCTCGCTACGACTTAGAAAACGGTCCAGGGGCTCCGCAAACTGTTTCGACTCAGTTTAACTGTGAAGGAACGACATTGTCTGGAATAGATTTCCAGTTAGCCGGACCCGGTTACAGATTGTCTCTAGTTAAAAGGAGATTCGTTTCCGGGAAGTATATTTGTGATGGTGACCAGAAATACAGTTCGGGTACTGGGACACCATCTACAATTTCAACAGTGTCTTCTGTTGGTGAACCTAACTGCTAGCATTCCTACATATCTTATGTGCAATACCCTTATGTATCTTATATATTTGTATGTCAACTATTTTTATTTATGACTATTTCCATGTTATATAGCCTATATATTATATATAGTTTATGATGCTATTTTATAATCAAATAAACTAATAAAGCACTCCGTATGTTTCATTTCAGAGAGAGTTCAAAATCATTCTACAAAACATTATTTAAAATAACGGTGGCTAGTATACAAGGCGTAACTTAATAGGGCGATCGGTTTTTTACGTGTAATAGTGTGCAATTAATATCTTTGTATTATTTATTAAATGTTAACTAATTTTGCCGACACTTCACTTTATTTTTATGAGGGTGTAGTGATTGTCTTATTAACTGTAGTGATGGTTTTATTACTTATCTTTGTATATATAAGATTTATTTATTTTTATCAGATCAGCTAGGGTCTGTGGTAGCTAAGGAAAATTATTGACAAAAAACTAGATTTTTGTATTAGCAGAAAAATAAACAAAATTATTTTGAGGCCTTATCCCTTTCAAAAAGCTTTGTTAGATGTTCGGTATGTGTAGTTTCATCTGAGCTTGCTAGTAAAATGTCGTCTATGTACACGAAAACATAATTTAAACCTGATACTACCTCGTCAATAAATCTTTGAAAAGTTTGTGCTGCATTTCGTAGTCCGAAAGGCATTCTAAGAAATTCGTAGAGACCGAATGGAGTTGTTATCGCCGTTTTGTAAATATCTTCTTCCGCGACTGGTATCTGGTGATAAGCTCTAACAAGATCAATTTTTGAAAATATTTTACAACCATAACTATGTAGATTAAAATCATGAATATGTGGCAATGGATATTTATCCGGAGTTGTAATTACGTTAAGCTGTCTGTAGTCGCCAATCGTTTGGATCTTTTTTTGGCACCATATGTAATGGTGAAGCAACCTAAGAAGATGAAGGCCTACAGAGGGCTCTATAGCAAATAGGCAACACAGTTTGTCTAAATAAACTAAATATGAATCGATGCACAAATAACAGACTTTCCTCCGTTCTAACGCAGATGTTCTATAAAATGGAGTTAGTTTGAAACTCAAATCACTTTTTATTGTAAAGAAATTCGTAATTTGAACAAGCGGCATCGTAAATTCCAAATTTCTTTACACCAAAAAGGTATTTGAGTTTCAAACTAACTCCATTTTATACAAAATGCGAGTTAAAATGGGGGGAAAGTCTGTTATTTGTGCATTAATTCATATGTAGACAAAACTGTAATGAAATCTAAAGAAATATTGCTGGTTGCCTATTTGGGAAAGTTTTTTACACAGCAATGTTGGACCAAATCCAAATGATTAATATCTTTTAGGAATTGCAAGTTGTGAGCTGGCGGGGAAGAGGTGAAATTAATTAAAAAGCAGACATTTAACAGAAACTTTAATATATAATAACTCTTTAATATTAATAATAATAAATAATATATAAGTGCGTTCGATGTACACTAAATGAATCAAAAGTTGCAAGCAAACGCATCTACACAAAATATATGAATATTATATCAACCATAGTTTTCTGACTATACGTGGCAGAAACACGAGTGCACTGATAAGAGATCACAATTTCTTGTAAAAATGGACATCCGATGGCTTGGCAAAGAAATACTCACAAAATATTCCTGTGGGCATATGACGGACTCAAGTTGATAGATGGACGCATGGAATGTGTAAGCAGTTGTAGACCAGTATATTTAGAAAAGAAAAAATGCATAGTGCATGGTAATTTTTACAACCTTCGCTTATGCAGGTTATTTTTTAATCAGCCCTGCAACATCTTATACAAAAAATTGTTTCTGATAAATTGTTGGGGTAAGACAAAGTAATACAAAAAATTATACAAACACTAAATTTTGTGATATTTAGAATTTGCAACATTTGGATAGGGAGATTATATGTAGATGCTTAGGCGTCCAAGTTTATAACTCACCCACTAGAGAGAACAACTTTTTTTTTGTAGAAAGGGTCGCTTATAGGTTTGTTACGCCGCGGAAACATGAACAAGAAAATAGCTTTGTATTACCCCGGCAAATGCAATTTAGCCTGTTTTTTCACTAAGAGTACGATATATGTCTCAGTAAATATTTGTTACGTATTTGAACACTTATATCCCTAAATATACTGAACTACTGTTGGTTATTACAAAGGTAAAGCTGAGTTTAAATATGGCTAAATTAGGACAGCAAATATTTTTAATTATACCATGATACATTTTCATATGAAAATTTGTCTTTACAAAGATGTAACACGGCGAGTTTCACAAAAACGTTTGGTTTAACAGCACCGAGAGTTTTTGGCTACTACCCTGTTGAAAAGTGGCACAGTTGCATTGTACAACTCTGATGTATCACTGACGATGGAGGAATTCTCAACACTTGATTCACTTAAGGTAATTCTACCATGGTATATGGAGGTCTTATACTAAAACAATAATATATTTGGCATTATTCTCTATGAGCAGCTGCTATAAAACTGCAATGACATACCACTGATCTCTATTTGAAATATGGAACGTCATGCAAATTGTGTACAGAACGCATAAACATCACTCGACGATCATGATGTATACAAATTTAAACCGTAGCCCTTGATTGTCCATTTTTTTTATACAGATCAGTGATACATGAACATTAAATTTAATGTAATAGTTCCAAAAATGTACAGATATTTTGGCATATTTTGTATGCAGGATGTAACTTTAAGTGGGGATCAGATTTTTAGAGCTACATGTTCGTCAGACAAGAATACTAATCTGAAACTATTTTTTAAAGTCAAATAAACAGTCGAGTTATAACTTTTTACAGCTTTTTTAAACTTTTGTCTACCCCGCCACTGGACAGCTCCCGAACTCGTTTGTAAGTCCGCGTTTATCAATGTTGCCTACCATAGACAAAATAGACTGAACTGTAGAGGCAAGCCGGTGAAGCCAACCGTCAGCCAAATCTCGGCCATGCCAGCCTCGCGCTCTCAGTCGCTGTTAGACATTCGCTGTGTCAACATTGTTACTATTTTATTAAATATATTGTTTTCCTTTGTGCAATCATGGGACAGTGTATCGTTGACGATTGTAGTAGCAGATCTGATCGCAATAGTAATGAAATTTCATTCTTTAGGTAAGTAATAATATAAAAATATTTTATAACATTTCGACGGCGTCGCGCAGCATTCTCCATCTCACATGCACTTATTTCCAGTGTTGGCTTCATGTTTTTTAGTGCCCACGTTATTAACTGATGTAAATATACAGGCTCATATTATCAACCAGCTATTTACAATTATTTTTTTGTCACAATTGGTGTTTATTTTCATGATGGCTATTAAAAATAATTGTAAATATTGAACCCTCAACATATAATTT